AATTGTCAACCCGCCAAATGCGGGTAGATTTCACCTGTGGCGGGTTAGACAGACACCTCCACTAGCCAATTTGGCTGGTTGAAAATAATTTTGTGTCTCTAAAGGTTAGAATTTTAGTTTAAGACTGTTTGTCAATATGGATGCAAATGTGATCTTAAAATCGAGAAGCAGCACCATTGATAAGTATTCGCACTAGCAAAAGAAAGTAGGTGAATACCGAATAAGAGGATGATTGGGTGCACAGTGAGACACAGGTGATCCTCACTCTCTGACTGATGTGATGTACAAGTGCTTAAAAGTTCCCGTGTTCCGTTTTTCTAGCGTGAAGCAACTGTAAAAATGCAACTGGTGCGATCATTTCTCTTTGAAATAGACTGGGACAATTCACCTTTCTTCGAACAGATTATTAATAAGCCTAATGTGAACCATGTGCACGTGATCAATGTTTTTCAGTGGCTTTCTTTTGCTTACAGTTATTTTTGTTAATGTATGGTTTAATTATCATCCTTTACAATAACAGTGTTTTAATAGGAGATTAACTCTCCATTTATCTGTAGTTAATCAGTGATCTGGGACCATTAACATGAAAAAAAGTGTTTGAGAATGATTTATTCTCTATTTATACATTTTTATTTAATTGTCAATTGTTTTTTAAGGACATTTCTTGTTGAATATTAAGTGATATTTTGATTGTTTTGACACATTATTTAAAATTTGGTCAAGGAAATAATTGGAAAACATTTTCTTTTACATTTTGTTGAGCCCTGAAAAGTCATTTGAAATAAAACTAATTGCAATGCCACACCATGAAACCACAACTCATTTGCTCATGCTCACTGAGCAAGGTCACAACACACAAAAGCTTAAATTAACGAGGCATGTGACATAACACAAAATTTAAATCAAGTAACTTTAGCATGCCAAAGTCAAATTTATGCATATAAAATATATTTACCCCCCAAACAATTGTGGCATGAAAATGGCAAGTGGCTAGTAATGTTGGAAAACTACTAGCCACAATGACTGGGGAACAAAAAAGTTAATGTCAAGCCCTGCTTGTACTTATTCATTAGATACTAGTGCCTATTCTTTAGATATTAGAGCTTTTTAAAAATAAACTAGTGTTGACTCATTAGATGGTCTATTACTAGATACTAGTACCTATTAAATAGATACTAGTTCTTATGCAATAGATACTAGTACTTATTCATTGGTATCTTAGTTCTTGGATACATACAGCTAGCCTCGTTTACATTATCCCCACCTCCCCAAATCTTTAATCCTATATGGGTCACGACACCAACTTATCCCCCAGTTACGTTCAATTCATCTATTTTTCCTTAACACTTTTTACAATGAATATTGTGTCAATATAGCTTAACAGAAATATTTTTTAATAAGCCATAATATTTAAAATTTCCATTCCAGCAATTTAGGCAGGCAAGCAGGAGAGAAGTATAAAATGCTGGTGTAGTTCTATTGAATTGAAACGACTTCAGTTCTACCTAACCCACTCTGATAAGAGGCCACAGAAGTGAAGTAAGTAATTTATACAATCCAAGTCATGGCAGCAGTGTAACCCATCTAGTGGGAGATTACAACATGGGAAGTGGGCACACAAAGACTAGTAAAAACCACAGACATTAACGCCCATCCTAGAGAGGTTTATCCAGTAAAGAGAACCAACGTGTCTGATGTCCCCTAGTTCAACTTGTCTTGCTTTAAGAAAGATTTAAACCTACGTTTCCAGCATATAAGGTAGAATAAAAAAGCTAGCAAAAATCACAGACATTAGTGCACCTCTTAATCACATGAAAATGCATTTCATCTGGGTCACAGCACCAGAGTAATTCCAAACCCAGTCTCATTGGAGATATGTGCCCAGGGCTATGTTTTTGGGAATCGCAAATTACGTGGCAGATGTAGGTGTACTAACAGAGACACTAAAGACTGCAGCCTATAACCTAACTTTTGGGCTCTTGAGGTTTATCTGGGTCACAGAATCAATGTGTCCACTCTTATTATAGTCATCCGGTTCCTAGAAGGACAGGTGCACTAACAATGCTGTTAAAAACCATAAGAATTAGCACACATCTTAAGCACAAGAAAGTCATGTTTTCTGGGTCACGGCACCAATATAATTTCACCAGTTCTACTTGCCAAGCTCTGAGTGAGATTTGAACTGCCTTTTTCTGTGTGGTACTCTAGGTGAGTATGCTAACAAAGACACTATAGCCTGACTCTTGACATCTCAAGATGAATTCAAACCTATGTGTATGCAGGTAAGATAACGATTGCAGGTGCTAATGTGTCTTTTAAGATCAGGAAAGTGTGTTTTCTCTGGGTCACGGCACCAATGTCATCATTATCGTTCTACTTGACTTTCCAAGCAAGATGGTGTTTCCGTCATGGTAGGCTCACTACCAAGCACACTATAGACAGTAGCCTCAAATGTTTCATTTGACATTCGACTCTAGTGTTTCTCTTACTAACGATCCTCCATTACATGCATAGAAAATGTAATGGTCTTCCATATTTTTTTATGTGCTTTTGTAGTTCCCATCAAAAACTGAGCATTAAATTCTATAGAATAATGGGAGAAAATTCTCTGTAACCTGATAAAAGCTGAACAAATGATAAGTTGCCACAATGAACAGGTTTCTTGACACATCACTTCATCTTTGAAGACCATCAATTAAAATGTACAAAGTACATGTGAACTGAAATACATTAAATACAAGTTGCACTTTTTAACAGGATTGCTTTCTGCTGTTGGGAATCAACTTTGCTGATTTTCGATGTCTGTTTTGACAATTATTTTATAGACTGATGTTACTTCCATTATTGTTAAACATTCTATAAGGTTTAATAGGTCTGTCAGTGACCCCAAAAAGTATTTGGGCATGTGAGCCGTATTTAAAAACTGTATATTTTTGACATTTTTCCAATTTTCTTTTAACCAACTGGCCCCACAGTGATTTTTAATGGAAGTATGAAAACAAGTTCCCTTAAGTTATCCTAGTAGAGTAACCATGGTTGCTAATATTTAATGGGATGAATTACTGTACATTTCCCAATTACTTTGTCTTCCGTAGTGTAGTAAAAATTTCTAAATAAATTTTATAATTTTAAACCAATTATTCTTTTATCTTAAATTCATTACTAACCCTTTACCCAAGTCTATATAAAATTAAATACTCTATATAAATACTAACACAATTATTTATCAGTTGTTTTTTTATTTTATTCAAAGAGCAATGTAATAAACACATCATCCATCTACAGTACACTGTTGTTTAAAGGTTTGAGACTGATAAGATACTTCAACACAATCTCACAGCAGTTCATAACTTTTTGATTTAGTGGCTAATTCGTATGAATTCATATGGTCTCTTTTGTACAATTTAATACATGTTGCTTATCCACCAATGACGGTTGAGTGTAGTGTATGGTTGGGTGCCATGTCTCCTTTTAAACATCATACTTTTTCGTGCAGTTGAACTTCTACAAATTTGTACGAATTAGCCACTAAACAGACAAAATGTAAAATAGTTAGGTTTCCTTGTGAGATCATGCTGGATATTTAAAGTGTTACATGTATTTAATAAAAAATGCTATAAAAATAGAAGTATTTTGAAATATTAATATGCTCTTTTATGGCGGTATGTTGGCTCAGTGTTTAGCGCGGTTGCCTCACAGCAAGAACGTCGCTGGTTCGAGTCAAGGCTGGGTCAGTTGGCATTTCTGTGTGAAGTTTCCATGTTCTCCCCATATTTGTGTGGGTTTCCTCTGGGTGCTGTTGGTGTATGAGTTTTTCCCACTTATGGGTTGCAGCTGGAAGGCCATCCGCTGTGTAAAATATATGCTAGATAAGTTGGCGGTTCATTCTGCTATGGCAAACCCTGATAAAATAAAGGGACTAAGCCAAAGGAAAATTAATGAATGAATAAATATGCACTTTTATATATATATATATATAAATAAAAACATGTCTTATTATAATCAATCTTAAAAATTGATGTGCTGCTTAATATTAAAGTGGAAGCCATAATAGATTTTTTTCAGGAATTTCTGATGATAAGACAGTTCAAAAGTACTTTTATTTATAGCATACATTTTTAAAACATAATAAATGTCACTTTTATATTTACATATACTGTAATTGAATACAGCATTTGAGTCTAAATTAGCTTTAAATATTTATCTACAGTACTTTAGCCTGAATTGGGAACTATGGGTTGTCACGATACCAATAATTAATCGTACGATACCATACAAGCTAAAGTCTCACGGTACCAAGTAGTATTGTGATACTGTAATTTATAACTCAAATTATAAAGACAATTTTTTCTAACAAAATTAGGCTACATAAAGTGCTCAAAAATCATTTCCTTTGGCTATTTTGGGTTTTTCCATCTATTGTTCCAGTCTTCTCAGGTAACAATCCAAAGTAATTCAAAATTTCACTTTGTGGGTCGTTTTTTTTTTTTTTTTTTTTTTGAAGAAATTGTCGCTGTCGCTAATAAATCATATTAACAGGAACATTAATGATCCGATTCAGATTTGCATTTGAACTGAAGCATTAGAAAACATGCAGTAGGCTACCATAAAAGGTGCAAATTCTACAGTTTTGCAACATTAAAGAGCTCCATAAACTATTCAAATAAAATGGTTTATTGTTGCACAAACGTGTAAGCATTTTAGTGAACTTTCCACGTGCAACATTATCTATTGTAGATAAACCCATTAATGACTATACTACCATTTACAAACTACAGTGGCACCGGCAGTATTTACGATTCTACCATATTCACAATACTACCATAGTAAAACGTGCAACCCTATTGGGAGCATACCATTGCAGTAACTAACTATTAAAGCGCTATTAAAAATGAAAATACTCTGTAGGCTTGAATCAAATCATGCCTGCATGGCACAATCTGTGCTGTTTTCTCACTGGACTAACATTGTGGGCCTGTTTATGTGTTTTCTCTCTACAGAGCCACAGCTAAAAGGCATCGTCACCCGTCTGTACAGCCAGCACGGCTACTACCTACAGATGCTGCCGGATGGCACCATGGACGGCACAAGGGACGAGAACAGCTGCTTCTGTAAGCATTTTTTTTCTCAGTTGTTTTTCACGCCTGACAGACACAGTGTGACCTCCGGTTGTAGAAACGATTGAGTTGTATCTGTGTGTCTGTTGCTGTGACCGCTAGACGGGCGTAAAAACGAACTTCTGTCACTCCCATCTTTCATTTCCTCTGTCTTCCAGTCTCCTCACGTACATGTTCTGTCTGTCTGTCTGTCTGTCTGTCTGTTGTAATTAATTTGAGAGCCCAGTGTTGGCATATGTCCTGTGTGTCAGGCCTAAGGCCAGGTGTATAACACTTAGACCATGGTCACCAGTGCCACTCTGGGGATTCGCACTCAGAGACATGATTGAAGATCACATGCCGTAGCATTAAAGAGCCCATATTATACATGAAATAGAGTCATATCTTGGTTGTAAGGGTCTCCAACAACAGTCTAATATGCATGCAAGGTCAAAAAACACTTTCATGGTCTTATAATCTGCATTTATTTTTACCTAATTATCCCAGTGACTCCTGTATGAATCGTCAAGTGCTTCATTTGTTCCCAAACCCCTCCTTAGCGCGAAGCTAATCTGCGCTGATTGGACCGATGACAGTCTGTCGCGATTGGTCGACTGCCTTCAGTCAGAGAGTGAAATGGCCAATAGCTAATCAGCAATATAGAAAGTAATCACAGTTCATACACGCTCGATAGTGTAGGCGTGGACTTTAGCTGCCACACACACACAAAAACACACACACCTCCGGACGACAACGCTCCCGCTTCCGCCCGCACCCGCCAGGTTTAGCCTGAACCCGACTGCTCCCGCTTATATGAAGAATTTGTTGTCCCGGTGCCCGCCCCGCCCCGTTTTCTGCCCGCTGCGCCCGATCCCACTAAAGAGCGGGGGAGAACAAAACCAAAAATCACCCAGATATACAGTCCAGACAGCCAAGCTGTCTGTATAAACACACACACAGCACCAAGCACACACACACAGACAAAGTTCTCTCTCTCTCTCTCTCTCATACGCGCACGTGCGCACTAACACACACACACAAGCAACAAGCAGACACACAAGCTAAGCTCTCTCTCTCTTTCTCATTCGCATAGTAATATCACGGATATGCAGACCTCTACCACGGAGCTCCATAAACAAAGCAGCACGCGTCACGTTTTTAACGTGACTTTGCACGCGATAAGAGAATATAGCAAGTTAACCTGATACAGTACACTCGGTTACAAGTAACAAATCACAACTAAATACATTTGCAAGCTAAAGTAAATGAGGCAACAACTTTAATCGCACGTACTTACACTTGAGAAATGGAGGAAGAAACCCATCCTGACGTCCATCAGTAAGTTAACTTACTCTTTACTGATCCTTCCTTTAACAAACGCAGATGAAGTATTCTTTGTAGGATGTAGTTTCCAGAAGTTTCCAGTAGTTTCCAACTGCTTGGTTATAATGCTGATGTTTCATCTTTGGGTAGACCCTCGATAATTTCCATCTGCAGTGTGACTTCAATCGACCGGCATGTTTGTGTGCGTGTGTGTTTGTTTGTGTGTGTCTGGGATTCTATGTCAGAGGGCGGGGCCGCAGGTTTGAAATCTCCCGGGTTTGCGCGTGCACGTGAATAACTTGGTTTCGTTCATACGTCATGGCGAAACACCTAATGACTCGGTATCAAGGCGACTCGTTTGAAGTACTATGAGTCGACTCTTTTATAGATGAATCAACCGTTTTAAACACTGTATTCTTACAGATTTAAGCCTTAGCTGGATACTTCACTTCACTTAGAGCTGTGTTACACACTACATGGAGGGGAATTTTCAAAAACCCGTAATATGGGCTCTTTAATATTTATCTTGACTGAAATTAAGGCCACACTGGAACACAATGTTCATATATTCTCTTGGCCAGGTTGAGATTTTAATCAAATGTCTGGAAGTGATTGATTTAAAGCTGTGATGCATCAAGCTGATGTTGAAGAATTTACAGTGACAAAAGGCGACTGTTGAGTCCTCACATCAGTGTTTTGGCAAAATAGCTGAGGTTAAAAATAAAAAGATGACTGGAAACTAGCACGCATGCAAGCAACTCTCAATATTACCAGGTATACACAATTGTTGAAGTTGAAGTCTTCTTTATTCTTTATTTCTGATTTATTAAACCCCTCTTTGATTTTTTTTCCTTTTTTAAATATTTGCCAAATGATGTTTAACAGAACATAAAATATTATGTACTGTCGTCAGGGCAAAAATAAAATAAGTTTTTGGAAATGAGTTATTAAAATTATTATGTTTAGAAATAGAAATAATTCAGGAGGACTAATAATTCTGATTTCAAATTTACCTCTGCAAAATACCATATTTTTGTGCAGTTACCGTAGAATATATGAAGATTTGGTTTGCGGCATCCTTCATCATTTGAATAAAAACCGAAAACAAAATGCAAAACTGCACTGCTTATTAACCAAACATCATTATGAGCAGTGGGCCGAAGGTATATACCAGACTATGTTACATTAAATTTGCCATGGTAATTTCCTAATTTATTTTAAAAAAAATTAAAAATAGATAAAATATAATCATATTAACTAATGCAGTATAACTTTTTAAAATGATAACTTATTACAATAAAAACATAACAGTGGAATTCAATGCTGAATCTGACAATCAAACCATCCCCATCATCCTCCCTCACCTATCAGATTGGCGGGCCAAATCAAAGGTTTCCGTGGGCCAACTTTGGCCCAAGGGCCCTAGTTTGGGCATCTCTGTTGTAGATGCAGAGTTATGTTGAATGACCTAAAAACATGACATCCTAATTATGAATTCTCAGAACTTTCCAAGAAAACTCAAACACAGCAATAGACTCTATTCCTTATTAAAGGATAGAAACCAAAACTAGGGATGCAGACACTGTAAGTAAAGCTTAACATTTCAGATATTATTTACATTGATAACTTACTTTACTATAGGTGCCTGATGTCATGACTGGCTCATTTGCTAATCTGAACATTAGTGATGGAATGGAAGAGAAAATTTTATCTGATAATAAAGTCTGATATAGTGATAATTAGGGGCAGACAGAATCTGTGTACTTGTTTTGCAGTTTCTGCTCAGATTGTTTTTGCTGACATTTTGTTGTTGTTGTTGTTGAAATTTTTAAAAGTATAGGAACTAAAAATATAAATAACACATGAAATAATAATGAAAAGCACATGAAATTAAAAAACGTATTTATTTTGTTTAAGGTTTACAAAGCAAGTTCAATTAGAACCAATCGTTTGGAAAGTATTGCTCCTGTTGTGGGCCTTAGTAAAGCTGAAATATGGAACACACTGCAAAAACTGCTCCAAATATACAGTATTTTGTACAATATTAGTTCTATAGTCAGTATCAGCATAATGGCTATTTATTTGTCTTGCTAATGATTTACATTTAAAATGTGCTGTCAAACACTCATTCCAACTTAGTCTTTTTAGAATTGTATACAATAAATTGAACTATTCCTATATTATCTACTAATAAATTAATCATTTGGTTTTTGAACATTTATAGCTAAATAGTAATGCATTTACTTGTGCAGTTTTATCATTTTGTGATTCACATTCAGAAGTTTCTGTACAGAATATTTTTTTTAAAAGCAACTTAAAATAGTGTTATTGTGACACATTTAAGCATTTCTGGAAGTCACTTCTCCAGCACAGGTTCAATCTGAGGTCTCAATAGTACAAATTTTATGTTGACTCACCATAACATGATGTTCATGAAGGGAAAGAGACAGCAGGGAGAGAGAGACATGCCAACAAGGGCAGACATGTGATGCGTCATGAGTTCTAGAGCCTTTTTAATCTCTACGTGAATTTTTTTTGTTTGTTTGTGTGTACCAGATTGAAAAGTATTTCACTGGGATGGCAGTTGTCAGAGTGAGCAAGTAGCCCATTCCTGCTAGGGCTGTCAAGAACTAGCTAACATGTCACGCTTGTGTATTGAAATGACTGTTGCACATATTAAATAACCATACACTGCAGCGTCCCATGAGCGTCGTGACAGGCCTCGCTGACATGAATCCTAAACACTTAACGCCCCAATGAGGGGAATTCAATGGTGCTAAATCGTTACGGTGCTGTCCGACACCAATTAGATAATGTCATATATCTGTCAAACGCTGTCAGGAAATCTTATTTCTCCTCAGCAAGTGAGGGAATATCTCTATCAGACTTTTCCCTCCCTTTCATTGCCTTTATTTTGCATGTTTTTATCTTTTGCTATCGCTCAGCAGCACTAACTGTGTGATGTTCATGAAAGATCCATATCAAATACGATCCATCTCTCTATCAAGGACAACAGACGTAGGACAGATAGTCCCTCATGGATATCTTCCCCCACCTAAAGCCATTATCTTTGCCTTCCCTGTCACTTTTACATCCACTCTTCTGTGTCGTTCTAGTCTTCATCTCTGTTATCCTGCTTTATCCTGTTTTACGTTGTCTTTAGTCTCGCAAAGCCAGACTTTTGACATTTTTTTCCCAATCACTGAAGCTTATTCGCCCAAAGAACCATCCACTTAAGGCAAAGAGTTTGACTGACATGTAAGGCAACCAATGACAGCTTTCTACCTTCATTCATTTTTTCTCTACATTGTTACAACCTCTAGGGATTAGCCATAATGGAAAGAGAGAACAGAGTTCCTAGCACAGAGAGATGCCAAATAACCAATTGCATTTTCTTTCAATGAGAATCTAGGCACAGATCAGGCTAAAAGTATAAACAAAACACACTTCTTTTAGTAAATGAAAAGTAAATAGAAACTATATAAAGACTTCGCTACCTTAACAATAAAAAAGTGAAATATAAACATACAAATAAAATGGCATGTAGCCCCTACATCCCTCAATTTGGTCAAAATGTTTAGACAAGCATATTAAAAAAATACTGAGCAACTCTTTGTGTAATCTATGCAGCTAAGTGGGTTTGACAAACCATATACTGTATACAGTGGTGTAAAAACGTGTTTGACCCCCTACAAATTTCTTATTTTTGCATGTCACACTTTATAATTTCAGATCATCAAACTAATTAAAATATTAGTTAAAGATAACACAAGTAAACACATCATGCATATTTTAAATTAAGTGTTTATTATTAATGGAAAACAAAATACAAAACTAGCTCTGTGTAAAAGTGTTTGCCTCTTAAACCTGATAACTGGTTGAGCCACCCTAAGCAGCAACAACTGTAATCTTTAAAGTGCTTTCAATAGCTTGCAATAAGTCTGTTACAGTACTGTGGTGGAATTTTGGCTCATTCATCTTTGTTTAATTGTTGTAATTTAGTCACATTAAAGGGTTTTCACACATGAACCTCCTTTTTAAGGAGTCCTTTTCACGAGGGTTATCCCCAAGAGTGCCCCTGTCTTGCGAGAGGAGATTGCTGTCCTCCTGGCAAAGGATGCAATCGAGTAGGTCCCTCCAGCTGAGATTGAGTACGGGTTTTACACCCCGTATTTCATCATGCCTAAAAAGAGCCGGGGGATTAGACCAATCCTACATCTGCGCATAGTGAACTATCATTTTCACAAAATGCCTTTTGGAATGCTCACGCAGAAACACTTGATTCAGAGTGTCCGTCCACAGGATTGGTTTGCAGCCATAGACCTGAAGGACCCGTGTCTTCCACGCCACCACCCCTTCCTCCATTTTGCGTTCGAAGGGCGAGTGTGGCAGTACAAAGTCCTTTCCTTCGGGCTCTCTCTGTCTCCGCGGGTTTTCACCAAGCTCGCGGAGGGTGCTCTAGCACCACTGTGGCTTGCGGGCATCCGCATACTCAACTATCTCAGCGACAAATGGCTCATTCTAGCCTCGTCTAGCGATCAGTTGATTATGCACAGAGACAAAGTGCTTTGGCACCTCGACCACTTGGGGTTTCAGGTCACCCGAAAGAAGAGCAAACTTTGCCCTGTGCAGAGAATCTCTTATCTTTGGCAGATCATTTTGTTTGCTTCCATCGAGAACGCACATTGCCAGCTGTTTTATTCCCTGACCAAGGCTCCCCTCGGCATGGATGCACTAGCTCACAGCTGGCCATCGAGCACGCGCAAATATGCATTTCCCCCAGTGAGCCTATTCGCACAAACTTTGTGCAAAATCAGGGAGGACTTTGTAGCGCCCCTCTGGCCCAACCGGACCTGGGTTTCGGAGCTCACACTCATCGCGGCGGCACCTCCTTGGCGCATTCCCCTAAGGAAGGACCTCCTCTCTCAGGGACGGGGCACCATCTGGCACCCACGCCCAGATCTCCCAAGATCTGGAACTTCCAAGTGTGGTCCATAGACGGAGCGCGGAAGACTTAGGTGACTTGGCGCCTGCGGTACTTAACACCTTTAATCAGGCTAGAGCACCCTCTACGAGGCATGCCTACACCCTGAAGTGGAGTCTATTCTCTGAACTGAAATTCCTGAACTTGCCAGATTAGCATTGTGTTATCCTTCCTTCAGGATAAGCTGGAGCGTATGCTGTCATCCTCCACACTGAAGGTTTACGTGGCTGCGATCTCCGCTCATCATGACACGGTGGATGGCAACATGTTCGGGAAGCATGATCTAATCATCTGATTCCTCAGAGGCGCGCGGCAGTAAAATCCATCCCGCCCCCCTCTCATGTCCTCTTGGGATCACTCTGTAGTAGAGAGATTTGTTCGAGCCACTTGGTTCGATATCTTATAAAATTCTGTCATTAAAGACAGCTCTGCTGATCGCATTGGCATCATTCAAGAGAGTTGGGGATCTGGAGGCATTTTCGGTCAGCGAATCGTGCCTTGCAATCGGGTTGGGTTACCCATGTGCCCAAGGTTCCTACCACCCTAGAGATCAGGTGGTGAACCTGCAAGCGCTGCCTTTGGAAGAAGCAGCCCTCTCACTGCTTTGTCCCATTCGCACTTTGCATCTTTACGTGGAACAAACGCAAAATGTAAGATCGTGAACAGCTTTTTATCTCTTACAGTGGTCGGCAGAAGGGAAGTGCTGTATCAAAACAGAAGCTGGCCCACTGGATAGTTGATGCCATCGCCCTCGCTTAACAATGCCAGGGCAAGCCGCACCCTCCTAACGTGGGAGCACAATCTAGTAGAGGTGTCACTTCCTCATGGGCGTTAGCACGGGGCACCTTTCTCACAGATATCTGCAGAGCTGCAGGTTGGGCGACACCTTACACATTTGCTAGGTTCTAATAACCTTTGAGTAGAGCCAGTTTCCTCCCGGTTATTAGGTAACCCCAATCAAGTCTCCTCTTCTGGGTAGCAGGTGGGCTCCGCTGCGTCCTCCACCTTCGGGGACTGGCACGCTTTCCCAATGTACTGTTGTATTTTCAAAAGTCCCTTGTCTATATTAGCTAGGTAAAAGCACACTTTACGACCCCCGATTAAAAACTTTATTCCCATGTAATGGTAATATGCTGGGCCTAGGGGACATTGGAAGGTTTATTGAATAAATAGGAGAATTGAGACTTTATCTTACAATGACAAACACTCAATGATTCACTAAACTAAAAAAAAATTTATCTCTCATTCCTGACCCGACACTTTTTTTTTTTACTGTAAAACACTAATGAAGACACAAAAAACAATAGCAGGAAACAGTCAATCAGAATGCTATCAAAACACAATGATGCAAAGTCAGCAAACACATAAAGGTATCTTTGCGGTGGTCCATATACCTGGAACACAAACAAGTAACAACACGAGGAGAAAAAAACTAATATTTACAGAAACAGTATCTCCATGTCATACCAATATGTTGCCCTTCCTTCAGTGTTTCATCTGTTTATTGAGCATGAATTTCTCTTATTTCATCCAACAGCACAGTTCAACTTGATTCCTGTGGGTCTGCGGATAGTGGCGATTCAGGGAGCGAAGACTGGCTTTTATCTGGGCATGAACAGCGAGGGATACCTATACACCTCTGTAAGTGACTGAATGGTCTTTTTAAAGGATTGATGATTATCGTTATTATAATAATCATTATGCTGGCGCCCTTCATGTCTCTGCAATAATGATTCACAGGTAATTGACGATGTGCAGCTTTTTGAGAGGTAAATAATTATGCAGAGAGTTTAATTACTCTCCTTATATTAAAGAGTTTGGACAAACAAACTAGTGTGAGCGAAAATGGTGTAATTAGGATGACGTGGATTTTGTCCTTGGTGTTAAAAACCTCAGGCAGTGTTTATGACTATGAATTAACTGAGGAACCAACACTAGTTTTTGTGCACTGTCCATGGTGCTGAATTTTTTAGTTACTCTCCATAGTGCTGAAAGCTGTGTTGCTGTCCACAGTTCTGAATTTCATATTGCTGCTGCTGAATGTCACTGATATAATTCTAATTAAAAAAAGGTTTTAGGAATACTTTTAATGTACTGGTAGGCATGTTTAAGCAAGAGTTAGTTAAAATGTACAGGAAAGTGGCAAAATTGGACACCTAAATTGATTTTACTGTGAATATTTAGTCTCTATACTTCAGCTTTAGGGGTTTACTATCAACTTAAATAAAATGATTTAGTATGTGGTTATACACTATATACACTACTGTTCAATAGTTGGGGGTCTGTAAGATTTTGTTTGTTTGTTTTAAAATGAGTAAGGCAACATGTTTTTATATTATTATAATTGCACATTATATTAAAATATAACTATATGAAACAAAAATATTTTAACAATGTAGTACAGTCTATCCTATTTTTATAAATTTAAAAGTATTTATCACTGTGATGGCAAAGCTATACGTAGCCATTATTTAGTGCAGAATGTTTATTGGTAACTAAAACAAAAACTAAAATCTTTGATTTATTTGAATAAACTAAACTAAACAACTAAAACAACTTTAAAAATCATTCTAATATGAAACATTTCTTATAATAAACAATGTATAAGTATAGTTGCACTGCCTAATATTTTTGCAGAAACTGTGTTTCTACACTAGGGATGTTCAGATCTGGATATTGGGCCCAATCACGTGGTTTCAGACTAGACCGGAAAAGGGCATTACCTCCCGATTGACTATATATATATATATATATGCCTCCCGATATATATATATATATATATATATATATATATGACGCAGTGGTGCAGTGGGTAGCACATTCGCCTCAAAGCAAGAAGGTCGCTGGTTCGAGCCTCGGCTCAGTTGGCGTTTCTGTGTGGAGTTTGCATGTTCTCCCTGCCCTGCGGAAGGGCATCCGCGGCGTAAAAACTTGCTGGATAAGTTGGCGGTTCATTCCGATGTGGCGACCCAGGATTAATAAAGGGACTAAGCCAACAAGAAAATGAATGAATAAATAAATAAATAAATATATATATATATATATATATATATATATATATATATATATATATATATATATATATATATATATATATATATATATATACATGCTTTTTTAAACATATCTATAGTTATGTAGGGGCACAGAGTTAGACCTCTTTCTTGACTTCACACAGAAACAGCAACGTGTGCGGTATGACATCACTATGTAGCAGAGATACTATTGATTACCTGCCAGCAAAGTAGAACACGGATGCAGCTTGAAGTGGAAAGAGGTACTTAAGAATTTATGTTATTATGTAAGGTTAAGTTAAAATAATATGAATTAAATAAAAAATAAGGAAAATCCTGGATCTGTTTCTTCGCCCTATTTTTTTATGTATTATAGAAGTATCAGATCGGGTTTCAGTATCGGCATACTCAAAATCAAATGACTCGGGCTCAGACTCAAGGGCAAAAAACCTGATCGGGACATCCCTATTCTATATTCCATACATATAGTATATATTGTGTGTATGTTTATGAGAGTATATATATATATATATATATATATATATATATATATATATATATATATATATATATATATATATATATATATAAGGTGGTTTACAAGGACATCATGTCCTCATAATTTAAAATGCTTAAAAACCATACTTAACAGTCGTTTGACATTCAAAATTTTCTAAAGGTTTGTGTGTTTGTGTGTGTGTGTTTGTGTGAGTGTGTGTGTGTGTGTGTGTGTGTTATTTTTCATATTTTCAGTGTTTATTTTCAGATATAAATAATCTTTCATAGAAACATTTTGAGTCCAGTTTTATACATGCTAGAGACCTTTTAGCCATATTGGACGTGTGCTTTGTTTCTACTCCCAAAGGTCAAGTTTTCCCATAAAAATCAAAACAACAACAAAGGGATCAGCCCGTGCAGTGTGACCAATTACCCAAATTGTGCTTGATGTGGAGTAGAGTGGAAAGCAGCGGCATTAACAGGCAAGGTGGAGCAGATATTTAGACTGTGTCATGGCTCGAGCAGGATAAAGAGAACAGAGACAGCGCTTCAAGAGAGAGAGAGAGAGATATTGAGTGTGTGTTTGTTAAGCTGTGTATATATATATCTATATATATATAAATGCGTGTGTGTGTGCATCCCAGAGCTGCCGATTAGAATGCGGGGATGAGAGAGCTTTTGTCTCCTGCCTCTCTGTGAACTGAGAAATGAGGGGATTTTCTTCTCAGAAGTGGAGAGCGGCATTTGGTTCAAAGGCAACTGACTCTAATTCAGAGCCTGCAAGCTTTGGGACATCCTGTCCTGCATCTGCTATCAGAATAACTGTCCCTCTTGTCCCCTCCCCCTTTTATGTCTTAGGTCCAGTCTGGTTCGTCCGTCCTGTCCCTGTAATTTTCCTTTCATTTGGACTCATCCGTCCTTTCCCTGCTTGTCCTCTCTGCCCTGTTCCAGTTTTTGGCACTCAAACAAACATTTTTTCAGCTCGCAGTCGTATCAAAGCACGTTGAATTCTGAGTGAAAAGGTGGTTTATTTTAATCAAAGTCAGACAGGTTATGTAAGCAGATTAATTTGGGAATGATATCTGTGTTTACAATGCTGCTTAACTGGCATCTGGATGCAGTTAATTATGGAAATTATTCTTAAATCATCAAGATTATATGGTAAAATAAATAAATAAATGAGAGTAGCTGAAATAGATCTTGTGTAAAAAATATAGTAAAACTGTAGAAATATATTGATCTTTGTCTTTTACCGTGGCAGTCAAGAAGTTCCCCAATGTGTCTAGAGGTTTTTTGTGCCTTCATTTAGATTGTTTTTTTTTACAACAAATAAAGATTTTCTTCAAGTGTTACATTACACATTATTTTAAAAAATAATTAGGCAAATCGATTTTTAAATGTTTATATATACACTGTAAAACCCAACAGTCAACTTTATCAAATGAAATAAGTGTAGTTAACTTAAAACTGACAGAAAGTTAGATCTACAATTGAAAAGCGTTTTTGATCTCAGTGTTGAAGGCAATGAGTTGATTAAATACCTCATTACTTTAACTTAAATGGAGTAAGTTCACAGTGCTCATATAGATTACTTTTTATAGCTCAAATGGTTTGTAGCGATCGGTTTTCTCAAACGGTTTGTGTTGCTTTAACTTATTGGGTTTTACAGTACTAAGTTTGCTTGAGTTCTCTTTATTTATTGAGTTTTACTGTGCTCAGATTGCTTGGTTTCCTCAAATGGATTAAGTTTACAGTACTCATTAGAATTAGTTTTTGAACTTAAATGGTTTGTTGCTATAGGTTTCCTCAAATGCTTTGAGTTACCTTAACTTTTTGGGTTTTACAGTGTTTCTATGTGTGTGTACACACACACACACACACACACACACACACACACACAGAGTTGTATGCAAAAATGTGGACACCCCTCTGCGGCTGCATAATAATGTGTTCTTTCTTTATGAGAGAAGACTGCAGTGAAATGCCATTCAATTTCTAGAGAAAGCTAGATAATGTCAGTTTTTTTCAGACAGAAATTCGTAGTGTAGTAGTATTGAGATGTGTCATAACTGAGTTCATGTTTTACTGTCAAGCAAAAAAAAAAAAAAAAAGCTAATAAAAACTATCTATAGTCCCAAATAATAACTCCATAGCAGTCCTATACTTTCAGATCTGACACTTGAATCCCCTGTCAGAAAACTCTAGTGGCTGGGAATGACCTTTTTACAGTGTCTGATATAATGTTAATGATGTTTTTTGTGTGTTTACATAGATGAATATGACCACTGTGTAAATTCACAGTACAGTTACAATCGTATTGCCATATTAGATTGTTATGGTAACATGATATATGCCTCAGTGATTTCCTAAAGATAAATACAAAAAATAACACAACTGGTTTACAGACATATGATGAGGTCATGAGATGTTGTAGTGGTGTACCATTTCTTAGGGGTAAAATTGAAACCCTACCCCTTCACACTGTTTCAAAAGCTATGGGGACGGGATAGGGGTACAAAAATATAATTGGGAATGGGCCTTAATTGAAACTGAAAAATAGGCTATGCAAATGTTTGGACACCTTCTGTTTTGTGTGGGTTTTGAAACCTGTAGCTGATTGTAATGCTGATTGATTAAAACACATATAATGTGAGAGTATAATATTGGCCAAAGACAGAACAAAAGTAAAGACAACTAACCTATATTCAAGTATACATATATCTGTTTTCTGTGACTTTTAAAAAACTTTGTGGGTTTTTCTGTTTTCTTCTAAAACTTTTCTAGGTCTGGAAAATGCCATGTCAATATTCCATGACTTTTCCAGGTTTTCCATCATCGTATGAACTCTGAAGATAGCTGATTGCTAGTTGTGCTTCTCCTTATTGTTACTTCAAAAAAACTTCCTAATGACCTAAAACTAAAGTAATTCACCAACATGAATTAGAAGGAAGCAAAAGCTTTTACAAAGGTTTAAAGTCTCTATCTCCACAGTCAATAATAAGAAAATGGAAGGCCACAGGAACAGTTCAGGTGAAAGAAAGATGTGCTAGACCAAGAAAATTATCTGAAAGGCAAAGGTAAAAAATAGTAGAAATAGTCTTATTTGTTTTATTTTGGCTAGAATAAAAG